CAAAAACTGGAGATTTTAGGCTTATTGACATGGTGGTGAATTGGGTTTTTGTAAAAATTATAGATTTCGAGGGAAATTTTATTGGAGAAAAAAGAGGATAGTAAAGCGGTGATGGAACATGGGAGTGTTTCTCGGGTACCCATTTTTAGGTTTTATACGAGAAAAGTCTCGTGGGAAGCTCCGAGGATCTGTGTAGGTGAACAGTGACGACGACTAAATATTTATGCTCGTGCTCTTTTTGAGATTATGCCTAGTAAAAGGGCCAAGATTTACTAAACCAAGAGATATGTACAAATTGTGAAGAAATAGGTATAAGCTATAATGCATTTGTTACTTCGTGTTCGAATATTACAGCTCTGAGTTAAAGGGATTCCCATTAATTCATGTTTAGGGAGAGTTCGGGACTACCTCCGCAATAGGGCTGTAAACGAACCGAACGAACACGAACGGGGCTTGTTCATGTTCGTTCGTTTAAGTTAATCGAACAAATGAACGAACATGAACGGTTAAACGAACGAGTTTTTTTGTTCATGTTCGTTCGTTTAACAAATTACATTGTTCATGTTCGTTCGTTTATGTTCGTGAACATGCTAACCGAACATAAACAAACGAATAAAGATAAGCAAACATATATGAACATAAATGAACATATAATATAGTAATGTAATCAAACACAATTAAACATATATGAAGATAAAAGAAACTTATATGAATGAACATATACAAACGTAAACGAACAACATAAACGAACGTTCATGAACATAATTGAACGAACGAGACCATTGTTCATGTTCGTTCGTTTAACTAAACGAACGAGAATTTGTGTTCATGTTCGTTCGTTTATTAAATAAACGAACATAAACGAACTTTCCGCCGAACAGTTTGGTGAACGTTCAGTTCTTTTACAGCCCTACTCCGCAATGAAATGGATGGGTTTTTATGAAAAAATTTCTAATAAAAATGGGAATTTTGAAGACTTGGTTTGTTCAATTTTCTAAGAAAATGATTTTTTTTTAAATTGTATGTAAATTAAAAAAATGATTTTTATAGTTTTCCAAAGTTTTTAAATTTCTAAGATGGAAAATAAAATCTCCATTGATTTCAACCAAATACATTTCTAAAATTTTCATTGAAAAATGAAAATAAAAACTCAACGTTCTTTTGTAATAACATTTTCTAATAAAATGAAAACAGTTTTCCACAACCAAACGCACTCTAAATGTCTGAAAAATGGATTTTTTTTTTTTAAATTACTAGTATAAATGAAGTTGTTTGAGAAACCATATACTAAGGAATATGGTTTTGGACTTTGGATCTGTTTAAGAGGTGGAATTATGGTTTTGGACTTTGGAACCGTTTAAGAGGTGGAATATTGAGCGGTTATGAAATAGTGTCGCTGACAACTTTAGAAAAAATTGCCAAAAACACATTTGGGATGTCTACGTGGTCAATGAGCATAAAGAATCGTGGTGGCGGAATGAATATGTCGAAACCAAGATCGAGATAAAAAAAAACTTGATTAAAGGAGTTGTTATTGAGTAGGTGAGAGCAAATGAAAGATTATGTGAGACCAAATAAAAGGTGAAGACTAAAGGAAATAATATGGTATATGAAGAGGTATACATGATGTAGGATACAAAGGGTGGAGAAAATGGAATCTACAAGCTTCAAAAGCCATAAAAAGAAGGAAATATGACATATGATATTTAAAGTATATTAAGGATGATAACAACAGAATCATAATGAAAGATGAATATTTTAAAAGGAAATGACGTAGTTTTATCCATTTTTTATTCAACGATGTTACTTCATTGGTGAGGGATAGGAATGTGGAGGACATTCAAGGACTTTGGCAGACGCATAATGATTGTAATTATACGAAGACTAAAAGTGAAGAACTAAAAAAAGGCATTAAGAATGATGGGGAGAGACGAACCCTTTGGCCCATACCAATATTTTATTACTGTGTAGTCGGTGGTGATGAGGGAGCATGTTGGCTGACAAACCTTTTAACATTATCTAGAAGGCAGTTAGGAATGCATACTTAGTATGACAATTATAGATTATTAAACTAATTAGTCATACGGTAAAGGTTTGGGAGAGGTGTTGGAGGCTAGGTTAAGACTTGAAACAAACTAAAGATGAATTCCACTTTATGTCTAGGATGTTAATAACTAAGGCGATCAACCTCTCGAGATGCCTTATAAAAAAATATAGAGAAAAACATAGGACCTCTACATTATGTTCATTGACTTTAAGAAGCGTATGCTAGTGTACCGTAAGAGACGATCTAGAGGGATCATGGAAGCGAGAAGGGTTCCATAAAGTTACGACACGACAGGGCTATCATGATATGTATTGTCGTTATAACATGTGTTTGAGCTATAGTTGATAACAAAGCCTTTTCTATTGCAATTTGAATACATCACATATTGTCTGTTAGCTTATAATATTCCTTATGATTATGGATTGCATTTCTCGTAAGATTTAAGGAGCCGAGCCATGTTTTTTTGTTATCGATTTTTTTTTTTTTTGGTTTTTGTTTTTGGAGAGACTAGGACTTAGTTGAATACTATGTTATATAGAGGCTAGAGGGGGTTATTGGAAGGAAAAATTGTTATCAATCAACAAAATTAAGATGGAATATCTCATGTGCAATTTAAATAGAAAGTGAAATGGTAAATGGATAGAATTATATACATGTGAGCAAGTTCTACATCCAAATGAGAGTTTCAAAGTAATTGGGTTTATGATTCATAAGAAACGGGTGACGCCATCAATGGTAAACTAGGTAAAAGAAAGTTGTGGCGGCTTGGACAGGTCAATAGGAGACAACCGAAAGTTGTGGTTTGGATGATGGATATGGTTAATGTTGATGATATGAGAAGGAGTTGATGTCCAGGAAGGAGATATAAGACAACGTAAGGTTAGACTCAAAGGAGTTAACTTTTATCGAAAATATTTCCTTAAATATTGAAAGCCTAGAGGCTTAAAATCAAGGTAGTTGAGTATTATAAGAGTAATCTAGGTACAACTTCTCCTTCTCCTTTTAATGCTTAATGTACAATATTTACCCTCTCATTTTATCGTCTATACGATTTAAACTTTCATTACTAGTACATAATATTTGTTACCAAATTTTGTACTATTATATAATATTTGCATGCTTACTTTTCCACATTTTGTTTTATACAATATTTGCTTCCACATTTGTGTTATACAATATTTGCTTCCACATTTGTGTTATACAATATTTTTTTTTAGCCGTGAAAAGGAAAGGTTGGATTTGACTTCCTTCTATATAATGGTAGATAGCCATTTAATTGATTTTCAACAACTCCGGGTCAGGAACAAATCAAATGGTTTAAAGCTCAAGTTTGACGACCTAATCGATTATAAAAACCTTAGAACATTTCTAACGGTTATACTATCTAATATCTTATGCTTAAAGATTAACTCATCATTTGAGTAATATTAATTAACCTCAAAATAAATGATCACTCAAATGATTAAGTTTATTTACATAATTTTAAAACAATAAAATAAATAACTAATATATCATTATCTTTCTAAAAAAATTTAATAAAACCCTTCATTTAAGTAGTCAAATTTTAAACAAAAACCATACTTTAATACAAACGTATAAATACAACTATATCATTTCTTTATTTATATACGTAAAATGCAAAAAAAAAAAGTTATAATTACAAAAATAAAATAAAAACTCTGAAAATATTATATTATCTTTATAATATTTATATTTTATAAATGAGATGTCATTAAATATTTAATAGGAATAATTTATTAGTTAAAAGATAAAAAATATTAAAAACGAAATTATAGTTAAAAGATAAAAGAAAATATCATTAAAAAGTTATGTACAACTTATTAAAATATATATCGACTATTTCATATATACAGTGAGTATATATTAACTATATTGACTATTTATATAGGGAGTGGCAAAAGAAAAAACAAAACAAAAAAATTGTATGGTCTAATATTAATAAGTGATTAATTAAAAAAATATAATAAGAAGCTCTAAAAAAATATTTCCATTAGAGATGTTTGGTGAAACATGACGTAAGTTTACATTATTCCAAGTAAAAAATGACTTTTTATTGCAAACTTAAATCCAATTATTTTTATATAACTAAAAATAAAAAATAATCAAACATTAAAAAACAAAAAAAAATGTTAGAACTTAAATTAAAGCTTTATTTTTTGGTATTACAACTCATTATTGCTTTTGGTAAATTGGTGATATAAAATATTGTAAATTGAGTCATTACATATCATTCCTGTAATTAAAGTCAGCTCGGTTTTTTTTTAAAACAGCAAATAAATAATAATAAAGGTCACTCGATTAGCAAGTAACTAAAACGAGGACAATGTACAAAATACAAAACAAATAAAAATTTTTTAATAAAAGGGAAAAATACTCCACTCAATCCAACTACAATTCACCTTCGAAGTTCTATATTTGAACTAGGCAAAAATTTTGAACCAGGCAAAAGTCGCTCGGTAGCTAGTATGTATAAGTGCAATATGTGCATGTGTTATGTGTAGTCTTGATGTTAGATATGTCATAAAACTTATGTCAAGTAGGTCACTGAAATTGCATGTTTATGCCAAACTAACATATTTAATCCAATTAGGTCATTAAACCATACATGTTTATGCCAAACACTCGATTACCACATGAACCAATCAACCAAACAACAGACTTAATAGCTTTTTGTTGAGATAGGCAAGAATGAAATATTTTATTGGACTAAAATCAAAATTAGTCGGTAGACTATTAAAATTGATTTTATTTCTTCACCTAACTTATTTTAATTTCTAAAAGACCATGTAACTAGTTAATTTTACTATAGGAGTCGAGCAATGACAAAAAAAATTATGTTTATTGAACTTATAATATATAAAAACAAGTTTGACAAACTTATGTAGGACTTATGTAAAATAAACCTGGTGAAATTTTTTGTAGTTGACATTTTATAGCGAAGCACAAAACGCCCAATGATACTCTCATCCTCTTCCCTTATCACTTCAGCCATTACTCCACCACAAAACCATCAATCTCTGAATCTTCTTTCAAAATGCAAGAACATGGAAGAATTCAAACAAATTCATGCTCAAATGATAAAAAACGGCCTCCACAAGTCCCAGTTTGCCTTAAGCAAGATTCTCCATTTTTGTGCTATCAACAGTTATGGCGACCTTTCATACGCCCTTTCAGTATTTGACACCATTGAAGAACAGCCTGATCCGATCATATGGAACACAATTATCCGAGGTTATTCATTAAATTCATCACCGTTTTCAGCAATTGATTTTTACAAGTTCATGCTTTTATCCGATGTCAAACCAAACTCTTATACTTTTCCTTCTCTTTTGAAATCTTGTGCAAGAATCGACGGGATAAACGAAGGGAAACAGATTCATGGACATGTTTTGAAGCTTGGACTTGTTTACGATGTGTTCATTCACACCTCTTTGATTAATTTCTATTCTCAAAGTGGAGAATTGGACGATGCAAGATTAGTGTTCGATAAAAGTCCTCTGAGAGACCCTGTTTCCTTCACAGCGTTAATCACAGGGTGCATAACTCGAGAGCGTTTCAAAGACGCTCGTAAACTGTTCGATGAAATGCCTCTTAGAGATGTAGTGTCATGGAACTCTATCATAGCTGGTCATACTAAAATCCAACGCTTCCAAGAGGCAATAGATCTATTCAAAGAGATGCAAATCGCCAAAATCAAACCCAATGAGAGCACACTAGTGACAGTTCTTTCTGCTTGTGCTCAATCAGGTTGTCTTACAACAGGTGAACACATCAAAACTTTGATCATACACAATAAACTTGATTCAAACCTACGCATTGTGAATGCCCTAATCGATATGTACTCAAAATGCAATGAGCTACACAAAGCTAGAAGCTTATTTGATAGCATAAACAATAAGAATATAATCACATGGAATGTTATGATAGGTGGGTATGCACATACACACCATTATAAAGAATCCATGGACCTCTTTAGAATCATGTTACAATCAAACCATAAACCTAATGAAGTCACATTGTTGACAATTCTTCCCACTTGTGCTCACATGGGTGCACTTGATCTTGGCAAATGGATCCATGCTTATATCAACAAGAACATTCCAGAATCTTCTAACCCTTCTCTTTCCACTAGTCTAATCGATATGTATGCTAAATGTGGAGACATTGAAGCTGCAAAATCAGTCTTTGAGAGTTTAAAACACAAAAGTTTAGCTTCATGGAACGCGATGATTTCAGGGTTAGCCATGCATAGACAAGCCCACAAAGCCATTGAACTTTTCAAGAAAATGGTAAATGACGGTTTCGCCCCCGATGACATAACCTTTGTTGGTGTTCTATCAGCATGTAGCCATGGCGGATTAGTCAACTCAGGTCGCCACCTTTTTCACTCCATGATCCAAGATTTCAAGATTTCACCAAAACTACAACATTATGGATGTATGATTGATCTTTTAGGTAGAGCTGGTTTGTTTGAAGAAGCCATGGATATGATCAAGAAAATGGAAGTGAACCCAGATGGTGCAATATGGGGTTCACTTCTCGGGGCGTGTACATTTTACCAAAATACCCTTTTGGGTGAATTCTTTTTCAAGAAAGTTGTAGAATTGGACCCCGAAAGCTCGGGTGCTCATGTGATGTTATCAAATCTTTATGCTGCAAATGGACAATGGGATGATGTGGCAAGAATAAGAACTAAATTTAAAGATGATGGATCAAAGAAAATTCCTGGGTGTACTTCGATTGAAATAGATGGTGTTGTTCATGAGTTTCTTGCAAGTGATAGAACACATCCCATGTGTGATCAAATCTATGCAATGCTGGAGGAAACTAATCGGGTTCTTGAAAAGAGTGGGTATGTTTTGGATACATCTTTAGTGCTTTATGATATGGATGATGAATGGAAGGAAGGGCAATTATGTCAACATAGTGAGAGATTAGCGATTGCTTTTGGGTTGATTGGTACTAAGCCAGGGACAACGATTAGGATAATGAAGAATTTGCGTGTTTGTAGTAATTGTCATTCTGCTACCAAGTTGATTTCCAAGATTTTTGAGAGGGAGATTATTGCTAGGGATAGGAATAGATTTCATCATTTCAAAAATGGGATTTGTTCTTGTATGGATCAATGGTGAGGAATGATGTTCTTGAACTTGAAAGGATGTTGATTTATTTGAGTTGGGTTGTTAAAATAGTTTGGAGAATTTGTTAAGGAAACCCTTGAAGTAGTTGGTGCAAAAAGAAATCTTGATGTGGTAATCTTGCTTATTTATGTAAAATGGTAGAGGTGAAATATGATTAATGATAAATATAATATAAACGTTCAAGTAAAACAAAATTAGAAGGTTATAGATTTTTATCCCTGATGAAGACTCCTAATGACTTAAGGAGACTAGGAGAGTATTAATAAAAGGAAATAAAGTAAACTTTTAAATAAATAAAATAAACACTAATTAAATTTATCAAGACTCGTAACCAAAAAAACACCAAATGGGATACTTTAGGTCCATTTCCTCCATGTTGTTAGGTTCCATGTATCATCCTCTCGTTTGGAAATGCTCGTTTAAGTCCAAATGATTTTGTTAGCTATAACAACCTTTTTCCGATGCTTGATTCATGCCTAATTCGATATTGATTGTTCAATTGTCGGATTTGTTTACATACCTTGTTACAATGGCAATTTTAGAACTCAAACTCACGTATGTCCAACTTAATTGATACTTTGAGTAACAAAATACATGGATTTAAAATTTTGGTTATTGCCTTATTGAGTCAATTTTTGCAATTACAACTACAATCACAGTTTTATAATTCAATATAATTTTTAACGATATTCATAATGGTAATTACAAACCTAGTTTATACAACTCAGAACAATTATCAACAAACAAACAAATTCATATTATTGTAAATTTCTAATAAACATGTGAACCTAACTCCATTACACTAATTACCATTTAAACAAATCAAAAAGACGAAGTTAAACAGCAGGTTTTTGTCTTTTTGAAAAATGACAACTTACTCACAAATGCTCTATTCCAGTTTTGATTTTCAAATTTCGGAGTTTTTTTGGTTTTTTGTAAAAAGAATTTTCAGGAAATTTCTCTATTTATGTCCGAAATATCCATTTTAAAATATTTAATCACTGTTTTTCAATCAAATATCTGATTTTATGTCATAATATTGTATATAGTTTACAATTGGTTTAAGTTTTGTTGAAAAGGGTCTAGGTTGAAAATGTTAATGTTCCAAATGGGAAAAAGCAATTACCACAAAACAATAAGGCGCGGACTCAAAAGCGAATTAAAATTCAAATAATCGGGGCCAGAAACGACAGTGCTCCTCCACGTTAGCACACAGCCACACCTCTTCTTCTTCCGTACATAATCTGAACCCCTTCCCCTATGTATAATTCTTCCACCTACAAAAAGCTGTCCTAATCGCTCTGAATTTCTTTAACCCACATTGCGTTCTTCGTTGATTCAAGGGACATCACTGCTGTAGAGGTAAAATTCCTACGAAAAACTGCATAATTGCTTCTGCGATGTTCGATTACTACTCTGATGTATTAGTTATGTGTAAGCTTGCTTGTGAGCTTTTCTAGGGTTTGTGATCTGATTTTAGGTTTTGTAATTATTTGAGTAAAACGAGATCATTCCGATTCTTCTCCTGGAAGTAACTTTGGATTCAGGTTTTCGTTAATGGGTTTTTGATTTTGTCATTCCCGATTTCTTTAATGTAATTAGGGCTTTTTATATGCTTCAAGTAGGTTTTCATGTCGATGTATTTACAGATAACCATGCCAAAGAAGAGACGAGATCACTCAGCGTCCACCGATAAGTCCCGGCGTTCTCCATACAAATGCAACACCAAAAACCCATCAGCAAAAGATCAAAATCTAAAAGAATGGGAAGAAGCTCGATGCCCTGTATGTATGGAACACCCTCACAACGCCATCCTTCTCTTATGCTCTTCACACAACAACAATTGTCGCCCTTACATGTGTGACACAAGCCGCCGCCACTCCAATTGCTTCAACCAGTTCCGCAAGTCCTTTGTAACTCCGGCCACCACCGTGGAACCACCGTCCACCGCCACAGTCCAGGAGTCAAAACTGGTATGTCCGCTCTGTCGGGGACAGGTAAAAGGGTGGGTGGTGGTGGAAGCCGCCCGTGAATTCATGAACACGAAATCAAGAAGCTGCTCAAGTGGAACGTGTGAGTTTTCCGGGACGTATTCGGATCTAAGGAGGCACGCGAGGGTGGTGCACCCTCTGGTAAGACCATCGGAGGCGGATCCTGGGCGGCAGCAGGACTGGCGGCGGCTGGAAAGCGAGAGGAATCTTGGGGATTTGTTGAGTATACTTGAATCATCAATGGAATCTTGGGGATTTTCTATGACTACAATTTTAAGACCGGGAAACGGTTCAGGCGTGGTTGAGGTGACAGTTCGGAGGCGGCTCGGGACACGGTTGTAGGGTGAGGGTTATGATGAAAACGGGTCGCCCGATGGTGGCTCGGGTTTGGGCTCAGATAATTTGTTTCAGTTGAGTCGGCCAAAATCGGGTCATGATGATGGAACTTGAAAGATGTGAAATATTAATATATTGTAAAAAGATATTATCGGTTATTTGGTATAGGGTTTTGTATCATTAAAACTCGAAATTATGATTAATATTTTATTAGGATAAGCATCTCTTATTCTAAAAAAATCTATACATGAAACTTCCATTCATTACAACCGAAGCTCAAGAAGAGTGCACACACAGTCTCTTCACGTCTGGACAAAGCCTAAAAACACACAATCTGATCCATGTACCCACAAATCAAGATGTTTTAGGCTTTTTCAAAACTAACTTCAAAAATCGTGAGCTTCTACTTATTATAATTTTTTTTTTTTAAATCTAAAAACTCATAAAAGCTTTCAAGGAACATACCCTTAGTTGATAACTTGATATAAATTGTAATTATTGGGTCATTCAGTTGTGCAATTTTAAAGTGAATAGTCATATAGTTAAGTGACTCAAATTAAGTTAAAGATAATTAGGTACCATTATATTTTATTCAAACATTCAGTTTTTTTTTTTTTTTTTTCTTTTTATATCAATTATAGTTACTGCTACAAATGAAAATGATCCTAATAACGAGAAAGTGATACACGCCTCCAAATACCCGTTAATGTTTTTTATATTATAGTTTGGACATAAATTATATTTGGATCGAGAAAAGTTATTAAATTTGATACTACTGTTCAAATTGTAGATATGTTAATCAATACGTTTTTTTAACAAATAAATTAATTTTAATAGATCCTTTTCAACAGTCACATCGAGGGAGGGTGTTGAATCGTGTCCTATTAACTCAATCTTGCAAGGAATTGTTAGAAAGGACTGAATACGACAAGTTAAACAAACATTCAAACTGGGGCTCAATTTATTAAACTTGCAAAACGACGCGGATCTTCTGATCCCTGGGTTTTACCCGGATTACATCCTTTGAATGTAATTTGTATTTTCTGGGTAAATTCATACACACACAAGTTAGTTCTTAGGGTTTTGTATCTTCTTGAGTGATTTGTTATTGAGAGTAGAATATATAGCATTCTTCGTTGAATCAAAGGAGATCAGTGCTGTAGAGGTAAAATTCCCACGAAAAAATTTACAATTTACTTCTGCAATGTTGGATTACTTCTCCGATCATGTTTAAGCTTGCTTATATTTTGAATGTGAGCTTTTCTAGGGTTTGTGCTTCAATGTTTTGATCTAATTTTAGCTTTCATAATCTATTTGACGTAAAACGATATCATTTCTGGATTCAGGGTTTCGTTAATGGAATTTTGATTTTGTCCTTCCCTATTTCTTTAATGTAATTAGGGTTTTTTTACAGATAACAATGCCAAAGGTGAGACGAGACAACTCGGTGTCCACCGATAAGTCCCGGCATTCTCCATACAAATGCAACACAAAACCAGTCATTCAAAGCGATCAGAAAAAGATCAAAATCTGAAAGAATGGGAAGAAGCTCGATGCCCTGTATGTATGGAACACCCTCACAACGCCATTCTTCTCTTATGTTCTTCGCACGACAACAATTGTCGCCCTTACATGTGTGACACAAGCCTCCGCCACTCCAATTGCTTCAACCAGTTCCGTAAGTCCTTTGAAACTCTGGCCGCCACCGGTGAACCATCGTCCACCGCCACCTTCCAGAAGTCAAAAGTGGTATGTCCGCTCTGTCGGGGACAGGTGAAAGGGTGGGTGGTGGTGGAAGCCGCCCGTGAGTTCATGAACACGAAATCAAGAAGCTGTACAAGTGAAACGTGTCAGTTTTCAGGGATGTATTCGGATTTAAGGAGGCACGCGAGGGTGGTGCACCCTCTGGTAAGACCATCGGAGGTGGATCCTAGGCGGCAGCAGGAGTGGCGGCGGCTGGAAGGAGAGCGATCTTTTGGATTTTTTGCGTACACTTGAATCAACATTGAGGGCTTATGTGGTTAGTATGTCTAGACCGGGAAACGGTTCGAGAAGGTCTCGAGCCAGGGCTCGGGACACAGCTGTTGGGTGAGAGTTAGGGTGATAACGGGTTGTCCGATGGTGTTGATGATGATGAATCTTGAAAGATGTGAAATATATTGTAAAAATACATTATCAGTACTTAATTGAGATGGTGTTTTGTTTCATCTTTCATATGCGATTTAGGGGTTGTTTCGGATTGTTTTTTTTTTTTTAGCCTAAAAAGTCTTTTTCAACGAAAATGACTTATAGTTTTTTTTTTCTTCTAAAATGAGGTTTTAAAATATATTTGGATTAATTTTTGAAGGAAGAAATGCCAAAAAGCAAAAAGTCACCAAAAGTAATGTCTGACTTTTAAAACCATTTATTTTTCTTCTTTGCTAAAAAATCATTCTAAAATGACTCTAGAATTATTCAAGTTGAAGTTCAAACTGCTAGATGAGGATCCATAAATACGAGGGCAAAATAATTCACCATTTCTTCCTCTCCGTAAAGAAATGCCATCACCGGAAAGACCATTACCGTCGCCAACAAGGAGACCCCGACGACAAAGATAAGATTTTGATTTCTAGGTCCTAGTTCATTGGGGGTTTCTGGGTTGTTATGTCGATTTAAAAGCTTGTTTTCCATTTGGGTAAAAACCTAGTCTTATATGCCATATTTGGGTCTGATTTGATGTTGCAGGTTTGTGGTCGATTTTTTCCGGCGACACCAATGGTTGTGAAGAGATATGGCAGAGGAGGGGTGGGTGGTGATGACGGGGGGTGAAGGAGATTGAATGCAAAATAAAAGAGTCTTAATGATTGGTAGTATAAAGGAAGAAAGGGAAAATAGGAGTATGAAACAAAAGGTGAGTTCGTGAGGGTGAGGGTTCAATGGCGAATGTTTCAGGGGAGGTCAAAGGCGGTGATGAGTTTCCCGGCGAGGAATGAACGGTGATGAGCTTCGGCGAATGGAACCTGTTACAATGGATGTTGGCGATTGCATGAGGAGGATGGGGATGGAGGGTATCTGATGATTGAAGTGAGGAAGAAGGAGGTGAAGTCAAGTAAGAAGAAGGAGTTCTGGTAGTGCATCGAGTAGAGAGATAAAAGACAGGGGAAGGGGTGGGGTGGGGTTGGGGCCCACATATATTTCTTTATTTAAAATCTTTTTTTAAAATAAGGTAATAATAAAAATAAGGGTAAAAGGGGTATAAATGTCATTTCAGGTTTGATAGGGATGAAACACGAAACAAAACCAAACCATAAGGATGGTAAGAGTTAAAAATTCTTTATAGGGACTAAACACGCAGATTACCCCAAACTACAGGGACTATTCGTGTAATTTACCCTAAAAATAATCACGAACACCTTCTTACCTATGAGAAAATTAAGGGTTAAGGGTCTTTATAAAAATAAAGGTAATGTAAAAGAACAAGATACAAATATGACATTTTATGATTTAGGCTCGGTTAATAGGTTAATGTCATCTAATCTAACCAACTATCATTTTTTTTCAGAAATATAAAATACGTTTTTATCTATTAAAAAGGACACTGACTTATAATTTACGGTTTTCTTGATATGATTTATTTTTTCACTAAAAAAAGAAAATTAAACTAAAATTCACCTCACATCACCCATTAATATCTTGTTCTTCTTGTAGAAAAAACGTTTCACTCTTTTTAGAATTCCACTCTTGTCTAATCTACAACCCTAAACACTACCACCTCCACATCTTCACCACTCTCCTATATTCATATCGAAGAAAATCATTGAATGTCGGAAACCGTCATCCTCTGTGTCAATCTAAATGTCGGAATCTGTCATCTTTATCGATGTGTGTTTTTTGTATTTGTTAGAGACTTAGAGGAACAAAACCATCTTATGTCGTAATTTGTATGTACTTTTGTTCAAGGTTCTCCACGTTCTCACTGTCATTTGCTTCTTTAATCTAGTTTACCGGAATAAATACCTAAAGCCTACATTCAATCATATTTTAACAATTTATATGTAATCAAAGTACATGTCTTTCAACAAGATTTGCAAAATGGGGAATGGTTTTGAATTAATTACTTTGTAAGGTTTTTGAACGGGGTCACCATTTGGTGAACGTAATGTGATGGATCTGTCATTGTAGAAAGTTGTCTTTTGAGTAGCGATGAACAATATTCTAGCGATTGGACCTACATTGGTTTGGGTGATAAGTAGCATTGAGAAGCTTTCAACAATTTCTCTCCTTCAATTTCCTCAAATACTTCATTAAATATGTTTTATCTTCCTCTTTTTTGTATGATTTTCACTCCTAATCTCAGTTTCCCCTTCATTCTTTCTGAAAATTTTATCCCCATCTTCACTACAAACATTAACGACCTTGCTTTTCTCAGTCACTCAATAAACTTGGAAACCATAGGATTTTCATTTCAAACTAGCCTTAAAATATGTGCGGAGATGCAATTATGAATATAAAAATTATGGTAGTCAGTGATTATCTTAAAGAAGGAACATAAAAATGATGCATATTTTTTTTACATAAAAGCTTATCGTGATCTCGAACTATGTATGCGAAACTACTTGTTTTTCTTCAATGATGTTTCTTAGTTCTACAAATTTTCACGAGGTCTCCATCTACAGTCTCTTGGATAAATCAATAAACAAAAATGGGTAAGTATAGAGAAAAAAGGTGTGAAAAAACTCAAGAGTACCTGTAGTGGAGAATTGAAGTGTTCATGCGAGGCATCTAGGAAAGAAGGACATAAGAGAAGTGTAACGTCCCAAAAATCCCTATGTAAAAATTTCATTTTAAAACCAACAAAACATCATTCATTCATTGCAAATCCATCAAAATGTGATAATGTATAAAATAGTTATCAGAGTACAAATCATGACATAAAATACGGAATGCTGGTGGATGTGGTGTGATCATGTCAGGCCCTTCTCTTTCGAACTGGAAGTACCTGAAACCATAAACATAAAACTGTAAGCACAAAGCTTAGTGAGTTCCCGCAATACCCCATACCAAGCATACATCTCGAAACTAAAACTGGGTCTATTTTACCTCCTTCAGTATAGTTCAACTGGTATTGGGTCTATTTCACCCCATTCGGTATCTTTCAATCGGTTATGGGTCTATTTCACCCCTACAGGTAAGCATACAATCATATCAGCAAGAGTCACAAAGACAACAAGCACATACATGCATATCAGTAAGTGTCACAAAGGCACTATCATCCTACAAGCATAATCCAGTGAGCCGAAATTGGTGTCTTCGACCCACGAGTATAGTGAAGAGACTCACCTAACAAACGATGATCAACTGCTATTGTTCCTATTGCCATGAATACATATGCTACAAACCACCTACACAACCATAAAAAGTACAACCTTAGCTTCCCTTCCAAAACTAGGGGTTTGACCAAAAGTCAACACAAGTCAAAAGTCAAAGTCAACGGTCAAGGTTGACCCTTCATGTCGTGGCCATCCTTGGCCACGTCGTGGCCTTTAAACGACAAAACAGACGCATTTTCCGCAGTCGTCACGTCGTGGCAACCTAGTCTACGCAGTGGGCACTAGGTTTAAAGTGTCTTAATGGGTTAAGACGAATCCTCCAATCCCAGAGGTTCCAAGGTCAAGATTTGATCATTATTATAATCTAAATGGATAAAGTTTCAAACTTTATCCCTTGAGACCCACCAAGAGGTCTAGATCTCAAGCTTTAAGTCTATAAAGCATAACTATGGCATGAACTTATTCAAGAATCACTTAATCCCTTAAGTCTCAAGCCCATTTGCTCCAGGAGAGCTTATGACACTAAAAACCATCCTAAAGATTGGTGCTTTTTAGACATGCATGTCTTGGACTCAACTGTAACGCCCGTGTTTCTAGGCTAGGCATTAATGACGATGTAATAATCTAGGTTAACCTTTGTAACTCATTTTGAAATAATAAGAATGTATTATTTGAGTATTATGTGTTTTATGCTTAATTGTGTGACCTAAATTGAATTAAGAATAAAAATAAGCGTAAAAATAAAATGTTAGATAAAACCGATATCGATACATGAAGATGTAGTGGTCGTGACAAGGATTCCGTATATATAAAGAATGCCGAAATCCGGGTTATAACGAAGAAGTTATGACCTGTCGAAGTTTCGCGACAGAACCGACACGACGCTGAATGACGTAAAATATGAATTTAAGATAGAGCGATATCTAGCCTTAGTGATCTAAACGAAAGTCGTAGAATATGTTAACCGAGAGCGTGCATAAGAAGAACGTCTAAATCTGACTTTGTATGAGGAAGTTATGATTTTTCTAAGTTTCGACTTAGCAGTATGCAGCCCGAAACTTCAATATGAGATCGAGGGATTTCTAGCCGAAACAATCTAAACGAGAATCGAAGATCTCGTCGATAGTAGTCCAACGGTAAAAAGACAGACAAAAACGGACGTCGGATGAAGAAGTTATGAATTTCTAACGAAGTTTTCCTGTCCCGACCTACTAAAAAATAATATAATAAAAATAACGTCAAAATTAGCCGACGGAGTCTAAATGAAAGTTGTAGAGAATAGTTGTTGAATGGATGTTTTGTATAAGTTTTAAGCTGTGTATAAATGTATATACTTTATCTACTAATATGTTGGGTAGAACATGGGTAGACAGTTGGTGTGTGATGATCGATACGGTGCTTTTGCTATCGGCGTCGTTCCTGGTAACAAGTCGATACGAAATTCTACTTGTCGATCAGGGGGCAATCCGGGAAGATCTTTGGGAAAGACTTCCGGATAATCACACACCACCGGAATATTCTGCACCTCCTTCTTCTCCTTCTTAGCATTGATCACGAACGCTAGATATGATGTACATCCCTTGGCCAAACACTTTCTGGCTTTCATTAGGGAAATGATTCCAGAGTTTACTCTGCGTTTGTCTCCATACACCATAAACGACTCTTTCCCTGGCGGTTTCACTTTTACTA